CTCCTCCTTGAAAGGCAAAATGACAAAATTATTTCTTACCATCTTCAAACTTGTATTGCTCCCACCTATCTCAATAGAAGACTTGAGTCCAGTTATTGTCTAAAATGATACATAGGGGAAAAAATTAAAAAAAATTAAAAAAAAACGATACATAGGAATTTACTCGAGCAAAAGGATGCACAAAAAAAAAACAAAAACAAACAAAAAAAAGAACAACAAACCAAAACCACACACAAAAAAAACCCCTGCTCTTTCAGATTCAAAACCTGGTTTGATACTACGTGGTTAAAGACGTTAATTTCAGGGTATTTTCATGACTGATGCTTACAGATCAGAAGATGAAGTGTAATGAATTATGAGTGGTAAGTCACTATAAGGCAAACATTTACCTTTGCTCTCAAGATAGGCATTATTAGGTGCCATCAAGTTGACTACTCATCGAGACCCTAAGAACAGCAGATCTGAACCTGCCCTATCCTGTGCCATCCTTATGATTTCTGTCCTGCTCAAAGCTTTTGTGGTAGTCACTGTGTCAATCCATCTCAATCAGAGTCTTCCTTTTCACTGACCCTCTACCTTACTTTGCATTATGTCTCTCCAAGGACTGGTTCCTTCTAAAAATATGACCACAGTATGTGAGATGAAGTTTCATCATCCCTTCCTGTCAGTCAGACATTCTGATTGGACTTTTCCAAGACAGATCTGTTTGGTTTTTTGGCAGTCCATGGGATATCCAGGATTCTGTCAACATTACAGTTCAAAGACACCATTTTTTCTTGTTGTCTAACTTTCAGATGCATAGGAAGGAAGCTATTGAAAATACTATGGCTTGTGTCATGTATACATACAGTATGTATCTGATTTGGGTCATGAAATAGCTTCAACCATATGCACAGGTGGTTTTTTCTTTGGAATTTCAGAATAGCCATTTCTTTAAATGCACTTTTTCAAATAAAGAAACACAAAGCTGGATTAAGATAAATCAAGATGCATTTGGTGACCAAACAGCTTTTACCAGTCATGTTGATATTTTCAAGTAATTCAAATACTCAAAAGGACTAGGAAATTGGAGAGATTAATTAACAAGGTTTGCTTTCCTGAGATCCTGTGGGATCACCACAAAATCTGGACATTTCATCTTAAAAATTGCAAAACCCAGAAGCAAACTGGATTCTCATCTTTAAGAAAGGAAACATTACTAACAGGCCCCATCTCACCGGCTGAAACTGAACCATGTCTACTGAGCACGTCAACCTATGTCTGGCAAAACATTTGGCCTTGTTATTGTCATGTCCCATGGAATCAGCTCTGATAGCTGCACAGATTGTTTATCCTTCTCCCGCAGAGCAGCAGGTGGATTCGAATCATGGTCTTCAGGATTGTAGCACAGCTTCTTGCCACAAGGCCACCAGAGCTCCTTACCACATCATCTTTAAAAAAAAATCACCCCCGCTAAAATCTTTAGTGTTGCTGATTATCATTTATTACTTAGGCAAAACTGGGCCAATAGAAACATTTCAAGATAGTTGGAGAAAAGATTAAAACTATCGGTGATTTCATTTTACTTGGATCCATAATCAGCACCTTTCGTACCTTAAGTCAAGGTATCACGAGACATACTGCTTTGGGCAAGTCCATTCTCAGGGAACTCTCCAAAATACTGATGAGCAAGGATTTAAGTTTGAAAATTAAGGTAAGCCTGATTCAGATCTATTTAATCACTTGCTATGCTGCTGAGATGGACAATGAAAAGGATGGCAGAATTGATGCCCTTGATATTCGATGTTGGAGTACTGAGTATCTCATGAACTGCCAAAAAAATAGTGTCTTGGAAAAGGTGCTACCATAGTGCCCATTGCAAGAAGGATGGCAAAGTTTCATCTCTCATACTTTGGACATGTTCTGGAAGAGGTTATTCCTTGGAAAGGGACATCATGCTTGGAAAGGTGGAGGGACAGCAAAAGAGGAAGACTCTCAACAAAGTGGGATGACACGGTGACAACAATGCACTCAAGTATCAGACATGATGAGGATGGCACAGGTATAACATTCAAGTCTGTTCACAGATCAGTCATCTTGAAGGCACCTAATAGCAACATGTAATAGAACAAACCATGGTAAAGGAACTGAATGGATATTAGCAAGTAGTGGAAGTGGTCTAAAAGTGGTATTCCACCCTTCCATCTTCCTACTTGGTTGCAGCTAAACTGTTATTGTGAGCCTTCAAATTAAAATAATCCCATATAACTTATGGGTCTCTGATGTAATAAAAATTTTTAAAAAATGACTTTATAGTTAACACTGCGTTGATTACAACTCACGGAGAGTCTAGTACTGTGCTCTCATCTATGGCCCCTTCTGCCTGGCAATCTGTTTTCATAAAAGCTCTCAGGTGGATGCTGCTGTGTCAGCACACGGGAGCCCGGATTCGAAACTCGAAATAAACTTTGTTAATTTGGAAAAAAAAGAAAACCCTATGGTAACACATGAGGATGCTATGAAGCCAAATCAACTTGATGTCAACAAGATGGGGAATTTTCAAGCATGTCCTTACAACATCTCTAAAATTAACTCAGGGAAATAGGCACCGCATTATTTCAGAACTGTCTGGATCAACTTTTGACTTCTCCACTGACTTACACACAGACCATGAATGAATAGGAAACCTAGACTGAGGCTCAATGTCAAGAAGACAAAGATTCTCACCACTGGACCAAATGGCAGTGTCAGGATGGATGGCGAAGAGACTGAGATTGTTCACAGCTTCAGTTTGCTCGGATCCACACAGTCAACACTCTTGGCACCAGCAGTCAGGAAATCAAAAAGCGTATTGCGAGGGGAAAGTCTGCTGTTAGGGACCTCTCTAAAGTACTCAGGAGCAAC